ACACACACACACACACACACACACACACACACACACACACACACACAGAGAGAGAGAGAGAGAGAGTCAATAACTAAATATATAAATGGAATTAATTATTATTTAAAAGAGGGGAAATGAGGAAATAAATTAAACTCATGTGTGTGAAAACTCAAGTTTTGTCTGAGTCTTTTAGAATACACAAAGAGGCAGTCTATTCCAAAACCAAGATAATTTATCTTAAAGTGGACCATTTACTTTTAACTTTTAAAATGAAGTCAATTAATCATTCATTCTGTAATGCTTGCTAGGCACTGGCAGAAAAGTGAGAATAGCAAAGAACACCAGAATCAACTTAATTATGAAAACAGTTACCTCCAGTTTACTCAGAGATAAACAAATTACCATTAATGAATATTCAGAATAAAAGACTTTTGTTTTCTCTTGACCATCCCTTATGTTGCCTAACATGACTAGTTTTTACTCATATATATATGTATACATATGTACACATATATTTTTTCATTGTATTGAAGCAGCACTGTGCTTAATGTTGTAATTCTTTTTTTTTTTTTTCCACTATCAGGTTAAATTGGGTGAAGATGCTCCCAATTCCAGTGTGGTGCATGTGTCCAGTCCTGAAGCGGGTAACAATTACGCCTTGCAGAAAACATCTGGGGCAGAATGCCACCTCCTTGACTTTGCCAGTGCAGAGCGCCCACTGGTGGTCAACTTTGGTTCAGCTACCTGACCACCTTTCACTAGGCAACTGCCAGCCTTCTGCCAGCTTGTGGAAGAATTCTCATCAGTGGCCGACTTCCTCTTGGTATACATTGATGAGGCTCACCCCTCAGATGGCTGGGCGGTGCCTGGGGACTCCTCTCTGTCTTTTGAGGTGAAGAAGCACCGGAGTCAAGAGGACCGGTGTGCAGCGGCCCACCAGCTCCTGGAGCGTTTCTCCTTGCCGCCCCAGTGTCAAGTTGTGGCTGACCGCATGGACAATAATGCCAACGTAGCTTATGGGGTAGCCTTTGAACGTGTGTGCATCGTGCAGAGACAGAAAATTGCTTATTTAGGGGGAAAGGGTCCCTTCAGCTACAACCTCCAAGAAGTCCGCAGCTGGTTGGAGAAGAATTTCAGCAAGAGATGAATTCTAGATTAGCTGGTTAAAGGTGTGCTTGTAATAGAGTTTATTATTTAAAAAAGAAGTTGAGAACGGAAGTGAATCAACTGAATCCCACTGCCTCACCAAAAGACGGGGGACATACCTGTCGGAAACCGTGAATCTCTTTAACGTCGCAGCACTTCCTTTAGTACACGAATGCCATCGGGCTAAAGAGCAGGTCTGTTACCTTCCTTCTGAGTGAACTGATCAGAGTTGGAGTGCAAGAAACCCTGGTGCAGCGTGTGTTCATTCTTGCCTGTAAAAGAAGCGAATCTGCCCCGTACGTGCTTTGGGACCAGAGGACAAGAGTTTCCAGAATACTTACTGTTAAGGGAGCTACTGATTAAGTGTATTGTCTCGGCTTTAGTCACCAGGAGCAAACCCAACTGGAAAGTCCCCCAGATACTTACTTACGATGTGATTTTGAAGCCACGCCATGCAGTTAGGACTGAAGTGTTAATTCTAGCTGTGCAGTGGCCTGTGCTAGCCCCTGTAGTCCAGCGTCCCAAGTGTGTATGTAGATCCCAAGAATGGTACCAACCTGGAGGCCTAAGATGGCACTGGAAATCTGGCAGATGGTGAAAATCCTTGACAGTGCTCTCAAAGAAGACGGACTTGATGAGGAAGGACAGAGAAAGCAGAAAGATGAAATTGCTTAGTGTTTTACCTGGAAGCTGTCACCTGCGCTAGCGTTGGAAGCTTGCACACAGCCGGGAAAAGAGAGAGGTTGATTGAAAACAGCACAGGGGGAATGCACACGGAAACAAGATTCGTAGCAATACTCCTAGACTGGGAGGAAACGGGCAATGGAAAAGATAAAAGCAAGTGACTGCTTTTAATGTGGAGAGAGTTACTTCATGGAACGATAGGTGATATACCCATCTCAGTGGATGACACCTGTTAAGGGAAAATCCCGGGGGTCTGGTGCTGCTGGGCTGTTCCTGCCAAATCCCTACAGTTACAATGTTACCTTCCCCTCCATTCTTAACCTCTGTAGCATTGCTTTCTCTGGGTGCTGAGTGAAGGGTGAGGAAGATAGGTACTTTAGCCATCCAGCTCCTGTCCTCTCCTCACATAGCTGAACCTAATGATAAGAATTTCTTCATTTAAACATGAAAGCAATTACTCTGATAATTTCTGCCTACAGTTTTCAAGGCTTGGGCAGAGCTTAATCTTGGTGCCACAGGGACTCGGTAAAATGGAATTTCCATCAACATTTGAATTTGGACTTGGGTTTTTCCTCAGCTGGGGCTAACCCATTTGTTGAAGTTTAATAACTATGTGCAAAACTATGATTATATATATGAATACATTTCTCTTAATATAAAAGCAACACAGCTGTATCTGCAAGTAATACCTAAGGATCACAGCCTCTAAAAACAAAAACAAGCAAACAAAAACCCAGACCAACCAATGCTGTATCCTAATTATATTTTAAGCTCAAAGAATTTCAGACCTCAACATATGGTTACAGTTACATGCCAAATCAAGGGTTTCTTGTATCTATTACATTCAATAATTAAATCATAAAATTGAACCATATTGGAAAAGATAATCTAAAGTTAAAACTATCTTATTAAAATAGTTGTCTCAAATGAGTAAAATAAGAAGTGGCTATGTTTGAAAAAATAGTATTGTTTTTTAAAAATGGAAGCAAGAAATAAGTCAAATTGCTAGCCCATATACTATTTAGATGATAAAGCACCGTTGTAGCTAATGTTTTTGGCAGCATCTAAGATTGCCAGTGTTTTAAATTCTGTGAAAGACACACCCGCAAAGAAACAAAGGAAATTTCCAGAATGCAGCAGTGTCCAACAGTTGTAAAATCATATTAAGATAGGTTACTTCACATTTCTCAAATGTTAAGGCCTACAGTCAAGGCTTGTTGGTGATTCCTCATTAATTGTAATCTTCAAAATGGGGCTGGGGTTTACGTGGTTCTCTAGGGAGACAAATGAAACTTGGCTGCGGCACACCCACATCATAGTCCACAGATGTCCCCTTTGGTTTCCATGTACGACTGTGAAGCAGAATGTCAGAGAGTCAGTGGGGGGGATGAGTTTTGGTTAATGTGATGCCAGTTGTGTGGGGAAAAGAGATGGCGGGGGAAAAATCACCCAGTTGTGCTACATTTTTAAAGAAAGAGAAGGTTGTGTGTGCATACAATTTGTCTTTGGGAGGACAGGCCAATGAAGGAAAGAAGGAAGAAGAAGCAAACATACAAAGACACAGACTGACTGTCAGGGACACAGACATGTTCAGTAGAACATGGCAGAAACACTGGATAAAAAGCTGTTGAAGGGCCCGGGAAGAAAGTGGATTGGCAGAGCTCAGGAATCTTATACTATTGGAATGAGTTGGTATGATAAGCCTATAATTATAGAACCTATTTATCTCAATGTAAACTTCTATGAGTTCCTATGATGTGCCTTTTCTAAAATTAACAAGAAGTCATTCATCCAGAGGTGAGAAAAATCAGTGCTCAGCTATTGTGCTCAGAGACACTGTTAGGCTGTCAGCACCCACTTCCCTATCATGCCTTTTATAATGTATATTCCTTTGAAGAGTGATAGTTGTAATTCTCACAAGAAAACACACACATATATGTATATATATTCTGACAAGGATACATAATATATCTACATATGTGTGTGTTTCTTGGAGTTATTATTCTCAGAACATAAACATTTCCCCCTAGAGGATATCTTTACATGGGGATATCAGTTTATACTTTTAAACTTTTAAACTTAATTGGCCTGTCTACTAGAAACTGAAATGGTCTGTCTACTATTAAAAGAGTTTCTCAGAATCTACATGGCACCTGGATTTCTCAAACACTTAGCGTTTGAAAGACATCTTAGAGCTATTCAAAACTCTCTTCAGTTTTTTAGTTAGAGGAAGTAATCTGGACAATGACCTTCTTGAATGGGCATGAATGAATACCTGCCCAGCAAATGTAGACATACTTCATGCAAACGCAATGGACCTCTGTGGAGGCAAACAAGTCATTGTCCTGGCTCTGTGTTGCCAGTCATTTAACACACGTGTTAACTCTGTTTATGCTTTAGATCTATGCTCCTGTGTCAGTCACAGATTGCGTCTCTGACTTTTGGTAATATCAGCTTCTGAGTGGTCGGTTTAATTTAGTTAAGTTATAATAATCAATAGACACTTACTTTCTGACTCCTTTGCCTGAGTGTATTTTACTACTTGGGATTTTGAATAAAATTTATAAAATGTGGTGAAGTCACAGGTGGGGGATGCCTCACGTAAAATACTGGAGGGGCAAGACTGGGGATGGTACTGACAGTTTTCCAAGAATTCCCAGGTGGGTACAAGCTGCCCTTGGCATGCCCTGTATCCTCCATCCGCAGCCAGGGGCAGTTGCTGATGTACAGGGCTTGCCATTATGTAAATTGTAGGAGGACCAACCTGGACATTAGTTCTACCTGACCTCTGACTGATGGTTTGGAAAATAAGTTTAATTAGAATCCCTTGGCTACTGCAGAGGGAGAGATTAGGCTGATTTCTGTCCCGTTGAGGGATAAATAAGGACTTGCGCCAGCGCTTCAGCTTTTCAGAACACAGCCAACGTCATCTCTCTTAGTGGAAATTGACTGCAAGTCTTTTAATGCTAGGAGCTTCCTTTATAACAGCTCCAAACCAGAACTCAAGTACATTTAGTTATACTCCAGCTTCTACCATCGCCTTAAATATTGATGTCAAACCTGCTCTTTGTATGGACTTCCAGAGTGGACACAAGGATCACTTGCTGCTTGGTGATGGTACTGTCTTGGGACTGTCCTGAGTCCCTCAGAATGGAAGGATCTGAGGCTGTATGAGCCAGAAAGCTGCTACCTGGGAGCAATGACCCTCCCCCCCCCCCCCCCGAAGGGGTGGGGGCTTATAGATTTGGAAAGGTTTGAAATGAAACTTCTTATGCTTAGAGGAAGGCTGCTGAATGTCAGTAAATGACTTCAGGATGAGCAAATATCAGGTCTGTTCTTCGTGCTCTGTGTTCTAGATAACACCAGGTCTCTGATTTGACAGACTCAGCTCTGTTCTGAGGTGAGTCTGAACCAGCAAAAAGCAAACATGTACAGATATCCAAACAAGACTGCTAACGCAAGCCAGGGCTCGCTGCCTGTCTCAGGCAGCAACACCAGGGCTCTAGGGAGTTTATTTAATATTTACTGAGACTTTGGAGACCTAGCAGATGTTTAATGAAGTCACTATTTTGGCTCAAACCGCCCTCCCCCATCTGTTGAAAAAAAATTCAAACAGGTAAACATAAAAATGAATGAGGCCCACAGAAGGGGATGGGAAATAAATAAAATTCTCTCAAGACTGCTCCAGACCATGCCATGTGGTCGTGACATGTTAGGCGTGGTGGATAAGAAGACCTACGTACCCAGTACTTAATAACCAAAGCAATTAAAAGATCTTGGATAGGGGATATTGGCCAGTTTTGTTTTAGTTGTGTATCGTGTCTCCACCAGACTCAAAAGCCCATGTGACCAGGCACCGGAAGGAGGAAACTGAGATGTTCAGGGCTCACTGGTGTGCGAATGATAACTATTGACGAAAGAGTCATCACTCAGTCTGTGGTTGGATGTTGTCACATGAGTCTGCCTCTCCTCATCTCTGTCTCCTTAGCAAGGAGAACGTTTGGATCATGGTGCAAACAGTGCTGGGTCAATGCAAGGAGAATGTGTGTGTGTCCATCTCTGCTTCTCGGTTGCAGAAAAAGAGAAAAGCTTTGGGAATTATCAGTAGAAAGAGTGTTATAATATTGGTGCTGAGTGGTATGTGTGCTTTTACAACTTGTTCTTATATTTTAATAAACTTTGAATAAAAGAATAGAGTTACTCTTTGGTTCTATTTGTTTATTTTTAAATAACCTTGCTCTGGGCTGGAACTCACTCATGCTTGACAACAAGAAGAAAAGCCACTCTCTTAATATTTCTTCTTTGGGATTGGTGGGCAAAGGAGACAGAAATGCCAG